GGTCAAGGCACTGCAGGTGAAGTTGTTTTGCTCGACGCCGTCCTTTGAAGTGAAGGCCAAACACAAGTATGTCTTGGCTGCTTCCGGGCTTTCCAACGCGCCTTGGCCATTTGCTCGGCCAGTCGAAAAGCGGCCTCCCAGCCTTCCCCTGCCAAGGGTTTCGAAAATGTCCAGACTGGATCTAGACTGAAGGTGATCTGGCCGATCAGGGAAACATTTAAAACATCGACGAATATTTCTTATGATCTTACAAGACGACAGAAGCGAGGGGCCTTCAGAGCAAGCGCTTATAGCAGCACTGTAGGCCACCACATCAGGTTGCACAGCCTCCGCATCAGGAAAGACTCGCAGAGGGTAAACCAGCAAATGCTGTTTGGATCGATCGTGCTGATGCCGCTCAACTTCCCCAAGCTCCGTGCCCAGTCAGTCTGGGAAGATTGCACCAAGTGCAGTGCCAAAAGCCACTGCCGCGATCGCCTGCCCCGACATCGGCCGACATCCCGGCGTTTGCGTGCCCAAGATGATCACAATGAAATTGCATGAAATCGCACAGTACGGGTGTATTTGCTTGAGTCACGATCAGTACGATCTGTACCGCTGCTCTTGACATGAGTATGTCTCTTACAGGAGCTGATATCGTTGGCTTTGACCAACAAAATGCGCTCGCACCCAAAAAACAATGCCGGGCCGGCTGGCAGGCGGCGAGGCCTCAGGATTCAGGCCAGGCCTCTTGGTAGTTGTAGCCTGCCTTCTGTAATGAATCTGCGCACTCTCAAAAAGCGGAAGAACATCGAAGCTGTGGAGCCGGCAGGCACCAAGGGTAAACACCTCAGCGTCAGCGTGCAGCGCGTAGCCAGTAGTGCAGAACTTCAATTGCAGCTTCCACCGAAGCTCAGCCAAACACGTCGGGCTTTAAGCTTTGGCTTAGATCTGCCACCAATGCAAGGGCTGTCTCCTCTCGGCAACGGCAACTTCTCGCAGAGTTGTACTGGCCACCGCCAAGTCGGGAGCTGACGCTGGGAAGTCGGTCCCAGGCGGAAGCACGCTCACAGCTGGAGACAAGCGCGTTGTAGGCGATCAGGTCCTGCACGATAGCACGCGTCCGGCATGGCAGTTGCAGCGCATGTGTGCATGCTTCAAGAAAATGCAGGATGGATGCAAGCAGCGTCCGGACGAGGGAGCCTCGCTCGGATGGCAGGGCTCGAAATCACTGTGCGACCACGTGTGCTATGCGACTGCCTGCCTCGGGAACAACGACTGCCGCTCGACGACTCTGCTGCAACTATCAAACTTCATCTGCATGGGCTGATGACTGGTTTGACTTTTTCCACGCGCACTTCATCTACATGCCTACCTCCGGAACGATTCGTCACGTTCTCTCTGACAGGCCTGGACCGATCATCTCTGAGCACCGGGCGGTGCATCCGGATCTTTCATGGCAGCCATGATGGCCAAGGCCTCCAGCACTGCTGTCAAGTTGAGTCGGCCGTTGTGCTACGTGCAATGTATGTGCACTTGTGCCTTCTCCCAAGAAAAGCCTCGACAGCAAGAACTCATCGCTGCAGTGCAGGTCGCAACATTGGGCCTCTGCTTGTTCCCGAAACATCGATACATTGGTGTCAGGTTGATGCACGCCACGCACAGGTGGAATCCGAGGGTCTGAGCTGTTCACTGCAAGTTCGGGCTCTCAACGAGTGCCTTCAGCCTGCGTAGCACACTTCGTCTGGATGTGAGGAGCTCTACAACTACCCTGCAGCCAATGCCACGTTGCTTTGCACAGTCTTGCTGCAAACCCTCGGGCAGCAGCAGGTTCAGTGCTCCTTCCCATTGGAAGCCTCAGAACAAAGGCTTGACAGCGTGCTGCAGTGCTGCATTCGATGGCGGCCCCAAACACGTTCCAGGATGGCACAGATGGCTTGAACCGCAAAAAATGCCAAGAAACTTGCCTTTTTCGCAGGCCGAGATGGCTGTGTTGAAGGTCACGACCTGGTGCTTTTTGGCATGCAGCAACCAGCAATTGATCGGTAAGTGTGAGCTCGCGCTTCTTGGTACAGGTGACAAGTGCCGGACGGTTGGATGGAGCTTGCCATGGAAGGCCTGGGACAAGTCGGGTTTCCATGGACAGGGAGGCCCTGCCACCGTGCTTGCCTTGTGCAGCACGGACAAAGCTTTGGCCCAGTGCCTGTGTCTTTTTTTTGGGAGTGCTTCACTCTTTTAGTAGAGTCGACCTGCAGCAGTCTTGCCGAGGCTTCGAGGGTCCGACCCGCTTTTGAGGCAAGCCGCAGCCGTCGTGTTGTGCGCCACTGCGTCTTGAAGGACCTCCCCATGTCAAAATTGCGAGCTAGCAGCTAGCTACAATGGAAAAATGCTTGTCAGACCTTTGGCAGTTACAGATCGAACCGGCTCAAGCAAGACCTGCAAAAATGTCAGGCGTTTTTCTCCGAACGCCACACAACGGCCCAGTGTGCAGTTGGTTATTCGGCTCTAGCGCGAAGCCAGCGCAATCGTCAACATCTGCACTCAAGAATTGCGTGCATTCCTGCGAGCACCGTCGAACGTCTGCGTCAGTTGCAGCAGCTACGCACCCAGTTTCACAGCCTTGAGGGATGGCATGCTCTCGAAGAGTTGTAGTGCCCATGTCCACTGGCTGGCCTGAAAGAAACATAGGCTCAAGCAACACCTTCAAATCCTGCTGCTTCTCTGACTTCGCAGACAGGCAGATAACGGCAAGCACACGCGACAACGACATCAGTGACAAGGATGGACACATCATTCAACATCATCCCAAGACTTTTGGCATAAACTACATGCTTGCTTGTGTGACCTCACCTTGTGGAATGCCGCCAGCGCAGCCGACACCGTCCCGTTGGAAATGTCATGGCATGTGGCTTCCGACAGAACGGACAGTGCGGCCGCCCATGCACTCCGCCGTCCAAGGTCCTGCATCGCTATCGGCTTGGGTTTATGTTTGCGCATGGCACCCTGGCTAGCAGATGGCGTCCTGTCCCAAGACGGACATTTTCTGAACAATGGATTACTACGCATTGCCAGTATGATGCTCGATCAACCACCGCTCCCACACAGACATCAGTGTTGGGCACAGCACACCGCTCGGCCTTGATGAGAGCTGTGTAACCGCGCTGGATTTCGACATTTCGCAACTGCCATACTGATACTGTCGCCTCGGTACTGAACGTCCAGCGCATAGTGGCTCCCTACACAGGCCTGACAAGCTGAAGCCCACGCCTTCGTCGCAAAATGCCTTCGCAACGACCGATGCACTCTGCGATAGGCCACATACATTCAACTCAAGGTGCCAAAAGTTCCAGTCTACCGTGCCTCTTACAGCTCCAACTATCTACTTCAAGCCATTATGGTGCATGAGTACTCAAACATCCAAACTGATCGTGGTTTGCATTTCGCTTGATCTCTTATGTCTTATGTTGTCGCGAGGTTGCTACAATCACATGGATGCTTCGAGAGCGGCCACAAGCGAGGGCGCGGTCAGCCGACTGCGATCAGTGGCAATTCCAAGATCAGGCAAGTGACGGGCTGGGGCCCGAGACCTGAGTGGCCAATCTGGGCATGTGCATGCCTTGTATCGCGAACTTAATGCACAACTTTATGCGACAGTATAAACGTTTTTGTTCCTGGCATTTTCGAGCAAACTCGTGTCGCGGCCAGCACGTCTGGAGTCGGGAAGGGTAGACCGGGTAGACAAGCAGACATCCAGCTCAGCATTGTAAGCTGGACCTGCCAAAAGAAGCCATCGACAACACGGTGTATCCAGTAGAGGACCGAAAGGCACTATCTGTGGTAGGAGTATCCTCTCATAGACACTACCCGCCTCTTGTCGAAAATCACATACTCCTGGCCGTATGGATCAGGCTGAAAGTTGATCGAGTCGTAGCCTTGCCTGTGTAGCCAGCTCCCTCTGTTTGTTCTGTCTTGGCACTTGGCAAAAGGATGATGGTTGCAACTCGGACTGGTGGTGCAATGCCACGGCATGTGCTTCACCCTCCCAACATCAACTCTAGCTTCGATCATGTAGCCGCCATGAGAGTCCGGACCTTTGATCTTCTGTGATGTTGCTGCGGCACTCATTGCAAAATAAATCCCGGCACCACACCAACCAACGTGCCCAGGCCTGAAACCATGCTTGAGAATGCTCTTTCCGGCACTGTGACTCGTTTGATGGTACAATGTGAGAACCCACCTTTGGCTCGTACTGTTGTACTCTGCCTCCTGGGTACCTGCTTCCTCTGAAGCGGTACGGTCAATCTGCAGCGCATTCAGTGCACATTGAGCAGACTCAGTGTTGGAAGGACTCTGGCACTCGTCGTCTTGCAAGAAAGCTTCTGCCTGTGGTGGGGGCGAGCTTTCAAGTCCCACAGCCGAAGCACTGTGGAGAGCTTGGAGGAGCAGCACCACCGCGAACATGTACGGAGCACAAGGGTCAGGCAAAGCCTTCCTGGTAGGCGGTCTCACCAAAGTTTCACAATGCTTGGGCATCAGCGCTGCGATGAACAGTACAAGGTTCTACGTTCTGCTTAATGCTCGCCAGAAAGCTGCTACCTCTCAAACTGCAACCTAAGCATGCTTTTCGGGCGCATAGTTTGTGACCTCATCTGCAAGAAGTCGCTAGCATCGAGCTGCTATGTGCAGCGAAGACCCAAATGCAGTTCAGCACTCTGCCTTTCTTGCAGAGCAGGCTGAAGGGTCACATGTATAAACAACTTGACTAGGACAACGAAACCCAGTCAACAGCACGTGCATGTCTGCAGAACGCGCGTTCTGCCCTTGAATGCATTCGCGGCACTCAGGCCCGAGATCATGTCATTCAATGTGAAAATATTTCCGTGGCTTCCAATCTATCCCTTCAACTTGCGAGCCATGAGTGAAAATCTCCAGCACCCAGTGCGGCATTGACAGCATTTTTATGCCCTGTAACATGGCAGACTTCATTCATCTTCTTCCCAAAGCCGTCAAGGCCACTGACATTATCCACTGCCGCCCTCTTGGAGGTGCAGCACTTTGCTCTTATCGGGCTCAGTCATCTGCAGCAACCTTGCACAGCTGTGGCCATTAACACGAAGCAGGCAAACGTGCGCCCACTTCAGGTGAGAGTCTTCTGGCTCCTCGGAGATCTGAACCTCACTGCGCTCAGAAACTTGACTTACAGTACCTTTGAACGGCCACGAACAGCAACTGGCAAATACATCTGAGAAAAAGTCAGTTCTTTGCTTCGCCATGCGCCTTGGCAGGGCAGCCCTCATCGTGCAAGGACGACAGGTGCTGGATTTCCCACAGACTGAGCACAGGACGCTCGGCCCACAGCTACAGAAGCCCTCGCAGGACGCAGCTCATATCACTTACTGAGGCTTCAAGCTCAAACAGAAGAGAACAGCATCCCGAACAACTGCCCTGCCATAAACCCTTCCTCTGCCTGAATCGACCCGCGCCGCTCTTGACGGAAGAAGCAGCTTCGGACACCGAAGGCGCAAAGCTCTTCAGCCTGTCCACCTGCACAAAGAAGAAGCCAACATCCAGAATCCCGACACCAGCAGCCGCATGGCTTCGTTCCACTGGCAAACTGGGGGCTGCGCGATGCTCTTCCGCCTCCCGATTTTTGCAAGCACAGGCCAACCCAAATTTATGTCAGAACCACTGCAAAAAGCTGCAGCAAATGAAGGAGTACCCGAAAAGACAAAGAGAAGAACACATCTTACCTGGAAAGACTCACTCGGACTTCAGTCCTTACCAAGTGGGCTCTGAAGCGAGCCCTGCTTTTGTTCACGGCCTTGTTCAAGATGCGCCCATTTTGCAGGGAAGGGTTGCCCAAGGCATGTCCTACCTTGGGGGGGGGGGGGTTGAAGGCTCTTCGCCAACGCCTCTTGAAGGCATGCCTGACCTCAAGACACCTCCACCGTCCGGTACAAACGAATACAAAGGACACCCGTGCCTTCTCAAACAAGCCAGTGCACCCAGTGAATCGAGAAGCACACAAGGCGCTGATCGACTTATACTTTTCCCGTGCTTCGCAGTTACAAAGGTCGATTTTGAGTGATGAACTGTGGAATTTCAGGCTGGCCGACTGCAGCTGGCGGCTGCAGGTCCACGAGGCTTCTTCACGGCCCTTTCCCAGTGTCTTGCACGTGTCTTATCGTGTCTTCATCCCAACATGTTCTCCTGTTCGTGTAGGTCCCAACTTTGGGTCCTGCCCGAATCCTCGACTTAAAACCTTTCTGATTCGAGCTATCCCAGCCCAGCCTAACATACTCGAATGCTCGAAATACTGCATCCGGGCTCCCGACCCTGTCATGGGAGCTGGAGCTTCATCATCTGGCACATCGTCAGCCTGAACTGCCATCTCAGCACCTGAGATAGAGAAACAAGGTCTGCAGCCCTCATCGGATGACACTGAATGCTTGAAGGGCCCTTCGGGAGGAATACACCACGCAATTCTTCAGGCGGGAGTTTCCCACCATTTGGGGGTGTTCTTCCTTCCTTCGGTGAAACGGAACACCCTTTTGTTGACTCCAGACTCTGCCAATCAACCCATCCACCCTGACTCTGATCTAGGTATACGTACCTTTTATACTCAGCAAACCCTGTAAAATGGATTGAACCCCACAACTCCATAATTACACAAAGCCTCAACATTCTATGCAGCTTTGCACTCAAGACCCTGCACGGCGGCACCTTCTCCCTGACGCTCCCTGGGTGCAATCTTGATCCTCCCAGCCGTGAAAGGGTTGGACTCAACCCGCTGCACGATGGACATGTGAGCCTCGAGTCCAGGCTTGAGGGAGAAGGCGTGGAGGTAGTTAAGCAGTTTATAATTAGGATGAGGACCCCGAATAATTGCAGCAGGTTTCGTCTGGCTGGGTGAAGAAGACGACCAACTTCTCCACCAACTCCTCGGCACCCGTAGCTGAGAATTCCAACACGCTGACGGGAGCATCCGTGACATGCTTGGACACCACCATGACACCACCTTACAATTCGAATGTCTTGAGCAGAGAGGCACCGACTTCGTTCACCAAACGCTTATCCAGCCCGAACCTGCCACAGGCTTGCAGGTGACGGAATGGTCATTTTTCGCGAACAAACAAAGCAATGCAATGCCAAGACATACAGCATGCGTTCAGCAGCAAAATTGCCAAGGGTGCTGGCGGTGTTGTGATTACTATTCTCGAAGACTTGTCATGGCTCAAGTCAACAACCACGACGAACAGCCACACTGCCACACTAATCCAACATTTGTGATGGCAAACTGGCAGGGCAGGCTGTGTCAAGCGCTCGCTTGTTGCCGTCGACAGTCCTGGAATATCGTGAACGCCCCCGAGGAGGTCCTGGGATCACGTCCATTGCACAGAGAGATCCGTCAGAAGGCTCCTCATGTGCAATCGAGCTACATACTGCTTCTGAAAGCCAAGGTATATAAGTGCCCCGAGCGTCTGCAAGTTCCTGGCTGCAGCACCGTGATTGGCGGGTGATTTGTGTGTCTCCACTGCCGAGCATCGGTTCATGCCAGTGGAACGGCCATCGTTCAATCATCTACTTCAGTGAATCAAATTGTGTCAAATCCACATTGACCTCTTCTTCCACGGGCCTCTTGCTGCGATCTGCGCCAACGCCGGGATCCCCGTCCAGAGTGCGTATCCAGCTCGTAAACAAGCCACCGAGTAAAGCCCCTGAGTTGGCGACGCGAGTTCACGGACTTTTCGCTTTGTTGCTTCCCTTTACGCCTGTACGTCCGCGTCCATACTGCACCACGCGCTTGAGGATTGGTGCCAGCAAATCCATTCAGCTACGTAGTCTGATTTCGCGCATACATGCAAGTGGCAACACCGCTTCAATCGACCGAGTTCTAAACAACAGATGAATTACGACAGAGCAGTATCATACAGATTGAGATCAGTGGCTTGACACCCTACATTCTGCATGTTTCCTATGAAGTGCACTCTTCATTATCTGTCGCGTGTGCTTCGTCTGATTCTCCTATCACGAACTGCAACGGAGCTCGTTTGTTTTGATGGGGCTCCTCCTTACGTCCGGCTTAGAAAAGCGTATGCAAGCATGACACGGAATCACAGGTTGAAGCGAAATGTATTGCCGAGAAACTTGGGATGAGGAATCCGGCCACCAGCTGTTGATGCTGCCGAGAGCGCGGCTGTGAGTAGCAGCCGCCCCTGGAGGAGGCTGCGGTTCTGGTGCAGAGAGACATTCTTCCCTGGTTGAGGAGGGGCTGCAGATAGGTTGGGTCTTAGACTCTGGCAACACCCTTTCCACTACACACGCACACACAGAGACAAAGCTCACTGGACAAGAACACTCATCTTGAAGCAGAAGTCTTTCTCTGCCAAACTGGTCCCACGAAGTTCGAAAGGAGCATGGTAAGGGCACGAAAATCAAGAAGCATCGGGCCTTGGGTCGTAGTCGAGTGCAGTCCTCTCGGACTCGGTGAAGTACGTCTTTGGAATCTCGGCGGCGCGACAGGCTTTGGTCGCTCATGGCCCGGCAAGTGACGGGGCTTCCGGCATGAAAAGCACTCTAAATGAGAATTGACGTGCATCGCAGTCATTACTTGCCTTTCACAACGGATTAAATCAAATTCGAGGAAAGCCCCTCTCCATTCGTGGAGCCGTGTCCGTAAGACTCGATTGTGTAGCACGAATTGCAGCATGATGGGTCAAGCTAGATGGTCGCACTGCTACTCTGTCAACTGCGGTCCTTCGTCTGGCGTTGTCTCGTTTTACGAAGAGGCGACTGAACGGACAATCCATCGGCAAAGGATCGGAAAGGTTAACTCGCTCGAAGCTACTTGGAGCTGGGCATCGTAGAAACGTTTTGCCATCCCCGTGGCTGAGGGCGCTGAGACAAGCGGCATAAAGCATAATACCCTCTGGTTGGGCCAGTCGGCTGAGGAATCTGGTTAGCCTTAGCGAGGACAAGATGCACACGTCGCAGCTTGAAGCTTCGCCAAGGGGCGGTGGCGGGGGCGTCTCAACCCCAGTCAGAAGGATATCAAAAAGCACATACGCTCGAATGGCCAATCCTCGGCCACATCAAAACGCAAGATTTGCAGCTTGCAATGGGGCCTGAGAGTCACTATAACTTGCCGGCACCTTTCCAACGATCCGTACTAACGGGACCTGTGCTGAAACATCTTCCTAAATGCCAGGTTGCGCTGTCGAGAAGTTAGATCGTCACCACCTGGCTCTGAGCATGTGCTGCAATATTTACAGCGATCACAGGTCAGCTGCCATGCAGACTCCTCTTAAAAAGTCTGTGCGTCATGCGCAGCTATCGCGACAACATTCAGATTCCGAAGATAAGACGGTACTGCAGCCACAGCAATGCATAGGTCGGCCTATGTCCAGAATTTTGAGCCCGCTTCCTCGCGAAGGGGCAAGCTCAAGTCCTGGAGTCGCATCGTCGCTTCAATGTGGAGTCTGAGAGTTTCTGAGCAACAGGCAACGCATGTTCCAGGGAAGCTATAAGAAGGATTTTACGATGCAAGACTGACATTACGGGTCCCATCATTTCCGCAAGACTGTCACATCATTGCAGGTGCATGTGTGATAGCCTCGATGGCTGTCCACCATGAGGGTCCGAGCAAAAGTGCGCAACGCACGCGCGAGCCAAGAGATGCAGTTTCCTAAGCCGCAGGAGAAGTCAAAAGGTGCAAGTGTCTTTGGCCCAAGTTTCTTCTTGGAAGACCGGCTGTGTGAGCCGAGAGTCGCATTTGCATCTGACAAGTGTCCTAGCAGGCACATGGTTTCACTGATTCATGCACCAAATGGGACCAACATGTGATAAGCAAATCTCGTAACTCCCATGAATACAAGGTCCTCGAAATGCGTTTGCATCTTGCTTGCCCAATCCCTTATAGTTTTCAGGCCACTCCTTGCATGCAATCTGCCCAGGCAAGGTGAAAGTTCCACGTGTGCGCACAAAGTTAAGTGTGAGGGACCAGGTGCACGCCAAGGCACGTGTAAACGTGGTTGGAAAACAACACGACCAGGATATATGGAAACAGCCTTGTCACTTTTGCTGGAATCAAGCAGCGCAAGACATCTACAGATTGGAACTTGCTTTCCAAGAAGCTTCGATTTCCGAAGTTGTGCCACACTCGCGCGGCGCTTCGAAGCACTTGGGCTCCCAGCCTCTGCCATCATGCATAGCACTGCAGCAGATGAAACGTAGGCTTCGCTGTGTGTGATAGTCCAATTTCGCGAAAACGACTACCTAAATCAACCGAGTCAAGACCCGTGGCAAGTCTGTGTTTGGACGCACTGCCCGGAAAGGAGCTGTGCAAAAGCCAGGCGTTGTCCTTGACCCAGGTAGGGCCGAGAAGCTTCAGAAGCCTTCTCGTCCTTTTCATCATCTGCAGTTGTTTCCGCGGCCCTTTGTCTTGCCTGTATGGCTGCCTCGGGCACGAGCATGGCATCTCTCGGCCACCCGGAGATTGGTTCAGCGCTGTCGCAGCATGTACTCGTAATTGTATACTACGATACAAAATACTAGGAGGCAGTATTCACTACCACACTTAGACTAAATCACGAACAAAATAAGAAAATCAAACTAGAACTTTATTAGTCGCTCGAATGATCTCACTGCCATGCGGCCTGCAGAGGAGACAGCTTCTTACCTTCTCCTGTGGCAGTCGTGTCCTCGGGGACAGAGTGCAGATCAACAACGGTACACACTCATAAAGCGGTGTTTTAGGCTCATTTTGCGCAAGTCCAGCAAAACGCAATCTCTGTTGACTGTGCAGTCCAAGCATCTGCACTGCTCTTTGTGTCATGGCTCGCCTTGCTGCCACGGCGAAGCCCCGAATGTTCGTCTTGTCCAGCCCTGAGCTGCGACGACTGCAGCAACAGCAACAACAACAGGACCATACATGCCATGGCAATCGTAGTAGTCATATGACGTCACGCTGTGTGCTTCCACAGTCAGAATGCTTGTACAGCGATCCTCCGAGTGGGAGTGTCTCGGTGTGTGTGTGTGTGTCTGTGTGCAATGCTGCTTTGGTTTGGTTTTGGCTGGGCGCAGCGTGCAGCACAGTGTCGAAACCTGTTGCCGTGCCCTTGCTGCTGTTTTTCGTGTCTTTAGGTGGGCGCTACTTTCGTTGGCAATCTCACGACTTGCAGAGCTACAGCTTTAGAAGGAAAGGAGGGGACAAGATTGAGAATGCAGTTGCAGGAAGAAGCGAGAAGAAAACTACAGGGAAGAAAGCACAAGGTACAAGAGAAAGAACTGACGACGGGACAATCAAATGCAGGCGTGACAGAAGGAAGGAGGGAAACGACCAGCGCAAGGAGACGAGAAACGCACGGAAGAAAGGAAAGCGGGTGAGGAAGCGAAGGAACCGGGCGAAACAACAAACAGCCCGAGTAATGGTGCTATACCACCTGCATTTCTTGGTGTGTCGTTCCTTTCGCGGGCCCGAGAAAAGCATGACATACTTTAGCATTTCCTTCGTGGATGAATGTGTTATGTGCTCTTGGTATGTTGAGAATTTAGTCGCTCGGTTGCATGAGGCTTGCATTCATGTGAAGACATCATTCATTCCAAAGAGGTAACGAGGTAACATGTCGTGCTGTAGGCTGTCATCGTCAGCGAGATAGTAGCCTAAACGCTTTCAAGATTTCTCGTTAGAGAATGTGGGGTTCATGGTGCGTTTGTTGGAGGTTGTGCAACATGAGCTGATGCCTGCAGTGGATGTTGTTCCTGAGGGCATGGAGCATATTTAATTTACTTTTGTGCGGCGAATGTCTTGCGAAAGTTGCGATGGGAAGTATGCATGTCAATCTGGAAATTGTTTCGAGCTCATCGAACATGCGCAGTTCGTGGCTTTAGCACCCAATCAAAAGCACTCTGATCTGTTGCCTGTGAAGATCTGTTTGAGGTCGTTGTGGCATTGAAGAAACGTTCTGAGTGCTTCGTGGTCATGTCGAGAAAAACGATGGTGCTACACCGGATGTTTACAAGGTGCAAAGATCAAGCTTACTTGGTCCAGGCAGCTCTCCGTCGTCCTGTAGGTCGGCACCGACGTCAATGAGAACCTGACGAGGTCCGCGCTCCGTGGGTGGAGATCGACTTGACCAAGGCCTGCGGGGGCCAACTCGGAGGCGGTCGGCGGAGCTCGTTCTGAGCCTGACCGTAGGAGTTGGGGGGCCCGAACAGAAGACTATGCTGTGGCTGACGAAGTTCTGGATGCAAGCACTGCGGTGGATGGACATCGACTCAACGTGTCGTAGCCTCTCTGTACCAGTCGGGCAGGTCGATCGTAACGCCGAACTCGGGAATCTTGACCTTCTGTGTGGGCACTGTTGCGTAGTTCTAGTTTCAGAAGCTAATCTGAACGCAGGGCTGATTCATCGTCCAGCCCGAAGCCGTCTGAGGATGCAGTCGTAGGCCTGCATTGACAGGATGCTCAAAGTAGACGCACAGGGCGCAAGATGTCGCACGCCGTGACGCCTGGGGATCATGACCAGTACCTGGCGCGTTCCGTCTGCCAGGGGGGGCGGAAGCGCTGGCGGCTCCCTGTCTCCCCGTGGCTCCACCACCTGCAGTCTCAGTCTCCGCAGCCTGTATCTAAATCTAGCCTTTATCGGCCCTGGAATGAGGTTCGCATGGCCAAAAGCGAGCTGCTGCCAGGTTGCTGGCATGGCGGCTCCGAGCGGTTCGTCTCTAGAAGCCAACTCCGGTGACGCAGAAGCCTCTTTTCTGGTGCTGTTCCGTCGTATGATTATCCTGCCAGGGTCGCATACGTCGTTTTCCAAGTTGATGCTGCCGGGCTACCCTGAGTAGACACATCTTCTCGGCAACGGCAGACGAAACTAGATTGCCTGCCCTGCATATTCCTGCGCCTGGCCTCTTCTGCGGTGCTTCCGGCGCTCCACCGTCAGGTAAGGGCCTGGGGTGAAACAGAATGCCAAGTTTTGTGCGGAAGGCGCTCCCGTGCTGGTGCAGGCGGCAGGATTTCGGGCAAGCTGCGCGGCTCCTAGCGGCTGCTGGCCTGGCATCTGCCCGAAGGGCATCCCAGCCTGTTCAGCAGTATCGTAGACTCGGCGTTGACAAGAAGTGCAGTGGACTAACTTCGAACTTTCAAGCCGCGCTTTTGGCACCTGCTGCGGCATCATCGACATCTGCGGCATTTGTTGCATGGCCGGGTTTGGCATCATCATCATTGGTCCTCAGATGCGCATGTGCACAAGCTGCCGCTGCCCTACGCTGTGCTTCTGGTATTTCATTTTGTCCTGTTGCTCTCCAGACGTAAGGCCTTACCAGTTGAAAAATCCTAGCACGACTCGACGAAGCGCTTTCTCGATGCAACCACTGATACAGCGACGCCCGGGCAGGAAGCTCCGACAGATTGGGATGCAATGATCTTGCGCCTGTTAATACTATAGGCTTTGCAGTACTTTGCAGTGCAAGGACCGCGCAGGGCCTATGATTACCCTGCCAAGCAACCCTGTGGTAGAGGCATCGGCATCTGTTGCATTGGCATCTGGAATGGCATCCTGACTGTTCGAGACATTTAGCGCGCGCACACACGTGTGATAGCATGCTTGGGGATAGCACTTCTCAAGACAATGCCGCCCAGCCACATGCCGAAGGGCGACATTCCTGGGATGCCAAATGTGTCAACATTCGCAGACTTGACAAGACGAAAGTTCACTGGCACAGCCTGCCGCGCCGTGCTGCAAGCAACATGCGAGGAAGAGGGGTCAAGAACCAACACGGACAAACTGAACCCTGCAGCCGTGAGTCCATTCATGCCCATGCCAAACATGTTGCCCATGCCCATTCCATTCATACCAAAAGGTCCCATGCCACCCATTCCCCCTCCAAACGCTTTCCCTCCTCCACCTCCTTTGCCAGCTTTGCCTCCGCCTGGCTACGCATTGCAAGGATGGTTCTTGCTTGCCTCTCTTGAGCTGTGCCATGCTTGTGCAAGTTTGGCGATCACTACCATGTCTCTTTTGCTGTGCACTCAAGAATACATGGGTGGCTCCAACTTAGGGTCCCATTTCGGATCCCTCAAACCATTTGTGCTAAGAATACCGACCCTAATTTAGATACCTCTTGTGAACCCAACATATCCGACGCATTTCTCTGCTGCAACTGTCAATCGAACCGGGCTCTTGGCTCATAATTTGATGAAAAACGAAAACTTCTACGCGTGTCTCCAGACCGCTTGCCGCCTGCCTCCGCCTTTCTTGCCGCCTTTGCGCATCCATGGTGGCAGCGGCTGTCCAATGCCATCTCCCCCTCCTAAGTTCTTCATTCAAATTCACGACCTGAACTCCGTGATCGTGCAAATGCCACTTCATCGACCTGTTCTCTGGGCTTTAACACCACCTCTCATGCAGTCACGGTGCCGCCTTTCTTTCCGCCCTTTGCCTTTCCACCGCCCATGGCTCCCTACGGGAGCCTGGGAGGCTACGCGGATTTTTGAGCCCCATCCTGCATGCTTCGGCACAACGTAGACAAGTGCTCCGCTGAGTCTGGCAATGTGGATCCATGTGGGGGTTTGGATGAGTTCAGAACAGGGCCGGGCACAGCTTGCTGTTGTAAGGGCCAAGGTGAGGTGATCTAAACTCAGCCAGCGTCAGTTTTGCGCACGAACGGCTGCTGGTCAAATCGATTTGAAAGGAAATTCTGCCACTTTCTTCCAGGCTGGCACACCTTCCCACCGTCTCTCCTTCGGGGTCTCCGTCTCCTGTCAGGGACCATTATTCGACTCAAAGACCCTACATCCTGCAAAGGGTGACTTTCGACAGACCATTCAGCCACGACACGTAGAGAACTATGCGACTGGCTTTGAAACTCCATGGTGTCAGAATCCACCCAGCTTCTTGCCGGACCCACTTCTCTGCAGCCCGTCGCTCCTGCGAGGGATTCGATTCGATGCACGGACGTAAACAGGTGTGAGACCCAGGAGAGGACTGAAAGCTCGAAAACTCCTACACTACCTGTCTCATTGTCGAGGTTGGGCATGGTTGGGCCAGCATGCGACACCTCTACGAAAGCCACAGTGCCGGGCCTTGGGGCAAGGGTTTCATATGGGACATAGGCATGGATAACCGGGTCGCTCCCATGAACAAGCCGGTAGAACTTCCTGATCCCTGCCAATCACTCCTCACTCCCTCTGAGCCGTGACGAACTGGATGCAGAGGGTTTTCCACGATCGAAACTGTAACTGTATTCCAACATCATGCTGCCAGGCTTCTGTACTTGCGCTGCTGCCTCGTGATTCAATCGCTTCATGTACCCGCGGCTCCTCCATGCCATGCGGACCATAAAGCAAAGATCCATGTGGCGTCTTGCTGGGTGCTGCGAACGCAGCTTCCTGCGCGCAAAGTCCTAACTCTCACCCGCTCTAGAGCTGGATCCGTTTGGCACCACTTTGTGTGTGCATGTCCATAACACGCGGGGTTGTATAAAATTGATTAAAGCTGTGCTATGAATTTTTGAGTCTTGCACAGTGTGCAGTGGGCCCCCAACCATTTCTTGGCGGCCTGAATAATGTGCTCCCGCGTACCACGAGGTCGGGTACCGGTGGTGGTGGTGTTGGTGGCGGTGGTGGTGGTAGTAGTAGTAGAAGAAGAAATTACAACAGCAGCAGTAGTACTAATGGCAATAATCGTCGTCGTCGTCGTAGATTAAGTATAAATAGAGTGGAAATAGCGGTAGTAGTGGGCAGTGTGCCGGGAATTATGACCAGCAATCCTGGTCATCTTACCCCATTTGCTCCACTTGAAGGGCGGGGGGGTTCAAAATGACCATGTCATCTTGGTCCGCCGAACAAGATGACCAAGCTGACAAGATTGCAAGATTACCAAGATGACCGGAACAAATAAAGGTTCAAAATTCCCGGCACAGTAGTATAGTAACAGTAGTAGCAGAAGTAGTGGTGGTCGTAGTAATAGTAGCAGTAGCAGTAGCAGTAGTGGTAGTAGTGGTGGTAGTAGTAGTAAAAGAAGTAGTAGTAGTAGTAGTAGCAGCAGGAGGAGGAGTAGTAGCAGCAGCAGTAGCAGTAGTAGTAGTAGTAGTAGTAGTAGTAGTAGTAGTACTAGTAGTAGTAGTAGTAGTAGTAGTAGTACTACTACTAGTAGTACTAGTA